ACTTCAAACTGTTGAACTAACCATCCCTTTGACACTAAATGAGTAGCAAGATATCAGTTATAAAGCCTAAAACAACGGAATATTTATCTCAATAAGTAATATTGTGAATGGTTGCTATGACATTGTAACTTTTGTACAAGTGCAAGTGGCATTGTTATTTACGTATTAGTAAAATAGAATTAAAATATCAAATAAAAACAGAACTATTATCAAGTTGAGGTGAGAAGACATTTTGCTATGTCAGTAAAAAAGCATACGTAATGATAAATATTAAATTACACCAAATGTATATCAACAACTGATTAACTACTTATCGGTAGGCGTAAATTCTAATATAATTATCATACCATACTTCATATAAAAAGATAATATTCTACTTTTATATAGGATGCATTTGCAAAATATGTTATTTAGCTGAAAAGGTTGTAATGTAGTTGTATCATATTACTCTTTAATTTCAGATGCCGAGTCTGTTTCCTATTAAACCACATCTCAAAGCCAATCAGCATTCTTCTTCGGTTTAATTTTTCCGATATTTTAGGATATTTAAGAACACCCCGCGTCAAATATATTTTTATGTGGTTATTTTTTTTTAAAGTATCTTTTAGAATCAAAATATAAAGTTTAGACATATTTCAAAATGGTTTTAATTATGCCTGACACCTGGATGATGTTAAGATAATACGTAAGATGTTACTTTAATATGATTTATACCGGAAAATGGGAATTTTATCAATTAAATACGATATCAAGACTTTCAGCGATAATAGAAGATTTTGGCAACCTCATGTCATTGTGTTCATGCATTTTAAACGTATACATCCAATCAAACAAAGATATATAAGCTTTGTTTATTTAACAAACGTAAACCAAAATCACAATAACTCTTGCTGTATAATACTTCGGATTGTGATATCCATAAACTTATATATATTGAATTTTTGAAATACACTTGTATATAACATTATATTGTTATTAAATTGACATTTCATTAAATTAGAAAAATGGTAAACAACAACAACTATCATAATTAGGATGTTGATAAATACGAAGTTATTATGCAATATATTTTGAAGACATTGCATTTCACGATGTTTTTCAAGCTCAACTTTAAACAACGAAATGATTTTTAAAATAAAAGCACGCAGCTATGGTATACTGACCTGAAAAATGGAAAGAAGATAATTATAAAGGTGTATAAAGAAACCGCGTTTGGAGTATAAAGTACTTAAACTAAACCATAAGTTTATCAATTCTTTTCATATTCGTTTGTAAGTTAACAAATACTCGTTGTAGAAAATCTAAACATTAGTGTTATTGGTATCTTAGTATTTACCACAATGCCCTACTAATCTGAGTATTTACCATAATGTCTAGCTGGTTGATCAGGTAATATCATTAACTTGTTTTCCTTGTTATACTGGATTATCGACATAGTATACCTTCAAACTTGTACAACCATTTCTAATATATTAAAGATATTCTACCTTTGAACACTTAATTTCAAAGATCTTTTTATGAGATTGGATTTCCATGAAAGTTATTCTTCAGAATTAAAATATAAGTTTCAGAATTTTAACGATGATCTCTTTTTAATTAGAAATGGCACCTGACTGCCGCACTTTCAGAAATATTTTGCTTTGGAATATACGTCAAGTATTTTGTTGAAGATTCATTTCTGCTTAAGATCAGTTGAATTGTAAATGAGAATTTGTAAAGCTATTTATAATGAATACGTATTGGATCATATATTCAGCAGTGATGGACAATGCCAGAAAGAATAGGTTATGCTCATTGGAAATATGAACAACTCACTTATACATTTTTAAAAAAAAACAGACTGAGCAAAACGTGGCCAGAAAAGAGTCGCAAAACATTTGACATTATATTATTCAAACTTAGCAATGGAATATACTGCAATTAATAAGTTACTTGAGCAAATTCGTAATTGTTGCTTATTACAAAATGTTAGTGGAATTAAACGTCTGTCAGTGATTTTCAGAATGATGGATACTGATTATAACAAACGCATATCTTTCCAAGAATTTTGTAAAGGTTTAAATATTTTTGGTATTGCATTGGTGCAACATGATGCACAGATATTATTTGATGCATTTGATAAAAATAAGGATAACCAAATTGACTGCATGGAACTAGTGTCCAAGTTACGACCTCCGATGACAAAAGGGAGAATAGAAGTTATCAATCAAGCTTTTGACTTACTTGATGCAAATAAGGATGGAATTCTAAACATTGATGATTTAAAAGGTAGGTAAATATTTTATTGAACTTAAGGAAATAACTTATTTTAAGATTGCAAATACTTCGTTTATAAATTCAATATAGACAATTTCTGACAACATACATTAGAAGAAAATACCAAAAGCATGTTTGTTCAAATGTTACAATTATACAAAATTAGTAATACCTGTAAAAGTTGGTAAGATACGAAATACATGTTACCTGCAGAATTGTTTAAATATAACCGGAAACTAAATAATGATTCTTACATGTGTAGGTATCCAATAGTAGAGGCAACCATATTTCTTGACAGCATGAATAATTTGAACTGTTTGAGCACTTTAATTATGGATGGTTATCTAGCAACTTTGTCCGACCCGGCCGTTAGTCGAAAATTGTTGTTGTTAATTAAAACTTGAAACTTACTATATGATATAAGAAGCAATTCCGTTAAATAAAAAAGTATGTAAAAATATTATCAATTTAGACACCATCTTCTTTTTTAATACAAAGAGTAGAACTATTAATGATATCTAAAAAGAAATAATGTTACAAATTATTGTTATTAAATTGTGTATGCATTTTCTATACCGAGAATCTTCTTGAAAAAGAAAATTAATTGATTCAAATGAAACTAAATCTGTTTAAAAAAGAAATTGATTCAATAACAAAATTGAATTAAAATTCAATTAAGCGTTAAGCTGAAATTTCACGGTAAACTAAAAGTATTTGCAAGTAAGGTGATGGTCTGTATCTAACTGATCTGCAAGCGTTATCTACTTAAAGTGATATTCAACATTTAGAACAAAACATTGAAGGAATTGGGAAAAACATCACTTTTGTTTATAAAAATATGTATGGCATACATATAACAGACACTTTTGGTAATAATCCGTATCTATCACTGCCAAGCCTTATACATGTATAACATTAAATATTGCATCATTTTGGGACAAACACAAGTGGTATAACAAAAAATAATGATATCGTATACTTCAAATGTTTGAAAGAAACAGGACAAGCTAATTTTCGCATCTGGCATGTTGAGTTCATATGTTCATTTTAAACATTTCCCTCTCTATTTATTGAAGAATTGAAATAGTTTGATATTAATGGAAAGAAATTCGCTATTCGTGCAGATATTTTTTGAAACTATCTCGAAAATGATGGATTTTACAGATAACTGAACTTCTACTTATGTAAGAATCAATTTACAAGCAATATGTATTCATTTCGAAATTGCTTCAAACCCCCTTTAGCATGCTTTGTTGCTCCAGAAGGTTTTAATCATGTACAAAATGTATTGGTGGATAAAAAATAGTTATATTTCGAGTTTAATATCTATAAATATTTATGATATTCATATGTCTCAAGGTAATAGATCTTTCTGAATATCTTGTTCAGTATTTAAGCATCTGATATATAAAATTTCATTGTTCAGCGGTGTAAAATATAGCTAAAGTGGTACTACCTCTGCTGCTGCTGTTATTGTTGCTTTAGAGAGTTCAATCATCAATGATACATCATTTATAATATGTGCACGATTAAGAATATAGTGAAGGACCATGGCCTATACGCTTATAAATAATTAAAATATGCCTTTATAATGTTTTTTTCCTTTATATGCGTTTATAGATGAGGATGGATGGAATATGGATCTATGTTTTATTTGCGCTTATAGAACGAAATGACTGAGTATGCACCTGCTTTTAGAAAACGGAAGAACATTTCCTTGAAATAATGCAATTCATATTAGTATTACCTTGAGAAAATAGAATATAATACAATAAACGAACAACATATGAACACTTGATGCACATACTTTTTGTATTATTCTATATTTATAAATTTTCGTGCATGTATGATTTTCTTTTGCTTTGTGTCTTATCTATAGCTGTGTCATAATGAAAATATATTGTCTACAAAAGATGTTATTCTAGTATACCTTGAAAATTCTGTTTTGGACTTTCAAAAAAAATAAAAAGAAATAATAATAATAAAATAAAACAAAGATTGAAAATAGAGAGAGAGAAAAGGACTATTAAGTATGCGTTCAATTTTGTCGTAAAAATGTACTGTAAAAAGGGATGTGCGCTTTTTTCTGGTAACTTTTCCCTGTAAGAAAAAAATATGTGCGCTCTTATTTGTATGCAATGTGTGGTACTTCAGCGCATACATTTTTTTATTCTCGAGGTTGTACAGTGTTTTAAATTGTCACTTATTTACTTCTTAGACAAAATCTTTATTCTATTTATTGTGTATGTCAACACAGATGTCACCAACGTATATGGTTTCATTAGAAAAGGAAAACATTATTAATCATTCGAATACAATACTGAGTTCTTTCGAATGTTCAATAGAAAAGTATTGTACTCAATAATGTTTTATCACATAATAACATTTTGATTTACAATTTGACAAAACATTGTTTATCAGAGTAGAATATTGATTTGATATGGATGTATTGGACTCAGTAAATGAAAACTAGGCCATATGGAGTAAAATATTGATTTTTTATGGACTTTTTCGACTCGAAAATGAAATCGAAGTTAAATTAAGAAGGTTTAATCATATGTTGCATATTCTGTTTCTTCATGAGAAGACTCAAATTCGAAATTGTGTTGATTACAAAAGTATAAGACAATTTAAGTCACAAACATTAATTTGTTAATTTTCTTAAATTGTATATTGAAATCGCCACCTTTGTTAAGTGATGCTTCACTAAATATTCAATGTGTTCCCAGAAAAAAACATGAGCATTCAAATGAAACGAATCAATTGTTGTTTGTTTCTTGACAATGAATTGGTGTTCTTTAGTACAGTTTATGCAGTGTCCGATAGTGAATAAGCTATATGTCATCGTAGAATATATAATCAAAGCTGTTACACTTCACAAACTAGATACGTCATCAATATATATGCGATATAGATGAATTTGTAATTTTAAAAGAACATCGTTAGATCATCTATCAATATATCATGATTACAACTACCCTTAACCTCTCTTGAAACGGCCTGAAAAACCAATATCAGCTCTTACATTTTCACTGTTTTATTGTGCTTTGATTTATTGTCTTTTTACCTGCTGTTTAAAGAAACGCGATCATTGCACCAATCGTAAATTGTATTGGTCTCAAATTACTCACTGTTCTATCTTAAATCAAGCTTCGTGAGGGAAACGGTTATTGATGAATGAAGCTGGTATTGAGGGTGCTGTATACACATTCTGTCATGTGACAGAAATTAGTGAAACATTCTGTCGGAGTGTTTAGTTAGTACACGAATAACAGTTATAATTGATATCAAAAATACAAGTACAAGTATGACAATCAAAATATTATCAAGGCAAAGTTATTCGTTGGCATATTTCATTTTTCTTGGATTTACTTTATCTACAAAGTATAGTCTTATGGAATAAATTATTATTGTATATTAGTAAATGTATATTTCACTATACTAAAATCAATTCATACAATGTATAAAAAAGCTAAAATTGAACATAAAAATGTGTTGGAACTTCTTAACAAATTGAGAGATCAATGTTTATTAAAAGGTGTTGGTGGATTAAAATCACTAGCTGTTGCTTTCAGAAGAATGGATACAGATTTTTCAAACTGTCTGTCCTACCAGGAGCTTGAACAAGGAATGAATTTATATGGAGTTGAATTTGATAAAAGCGATCTCCGATTGTTATTTGATTCATTTGACAGGGATAGAAATAAAAAGATAGACTTTCTAGAGCTTATTGCTAAACTCAGACCTCCTATGTCAAAACTTAGAATCGATGTCATAAACCAAGCATTCGATTTGTTAGATGCAAACAAAGATGGTGTTTTAAAATTGGAGGATTTGAAGAGTGAGTAACATAAACATTGATTTTATGTGCACTTTTAAAAAAAAATGTTCGAATAAACATATGTATGATTAAATATTTCTTGCTCATTAGACAGACATGTTATCATCTTTGTGTTCTCATTTTCTTTTGTAAGAAGGATTGAAATTTTGGTAAAAAGAGCTCTTGATCTCAAAGCAATTAAAATAGAAATGAACATTGACAAGAAACAGATACAAGAACTTTTTCTAAAAATAATCAATAAAAATCAATTAAACCAGACAGGAAACCCTTGTAGTGAAATTGATTAATCTGGGTTGTTTAAGGGAAATCATGTTATCACTTCAGGACTGAAGTGTTATGTTTATAAATGAAGTGTACAATGTACTCTTTATAATCAATATTTTCTCTATCGACGTGTTCATTTTTACTATAATATCTTAGTTATAGGGTCTTTACTTCAGAAAAGGTTTATTTAAGTCTATAAAGTATGCTATTATATATGTAAAACCTATTATTTACTTGCTTTTTAACTCATTTTATTCCTTTTGTTTATTTTTGTGTTCCTATTTTTGTTTGCAAATATATAGGGCTAAGAGTTACAATAAATGCACGTGTATGCCGTTTTAGTTTCGAACTGCAGCTAACGTTATGTAATAATATGAATTAATGCTTTCACTGCTTTTAAATAAAAAAAATGTCTCCTTTAAACATTTGCTTTTAAGTACAAAATATGTTTCAATTATCAGACATGCGAAATTCCTTTAAAAACCTGGAAACAAAACGCAAATAAAGTTAAATACTGCAGCTAAGGTAAAATAATTAAATCTCAGTTAGGTTACATTTAGTACGTTCATTCAATTACATCATTGTTAAAGAATTTTATTTAGTTGCATACAATTAACCAAAAGTTGCTTAATTGAATGTTTAACAGTAATAGCACCCTGTTATTGTTTCGTCTCCTGGTTTTAGTTGGTTAGCTTTGTGCAAGTGGCTCCGTGTTACTTTCTTTTGTTGAGGCTTGGTTCACAGAATACCGACTTTTTCTTGGTGATTTTTTGTCATATTTGTTTTAACTTATATTGTACAGTTGTTTATGTTAGATTTTGTACAATGTGCCACTTTGGTCACTCCATTAACGACATAATCTATTTTAGAAAAATCAAATGCCATTTCATATACAAGTGTATTTTTCTTCATATTTATGTATCATTTCAGTCGTCTATTCTACAAACGCAAAAAGACATCCAAAGTTTGTATCCGGTGAATGGACCGAAGAACAGGTGCTCCGGAACTTCTTGGACAGTATTGATACACCTGGAAATCCAGATGGTAAAGTAACACGCGAGGAATTCATGAACTATTATGCTGGGGTCAGTTCAACAGTGGATGATGACAGCTATTTCGATCTTATGATGCGGGCATGTTATGGCATGCCAAATAAAGGCTCATGCAAATAACGAAGAAACATAAATGTTTAGTTATTGTTTTTTGTCCAAAATATATGTTATAAAATGATTTATTACATGTTGTATGTGTAGACATTGCTAACAATTGGTGTTTATACAGAAACACATGGTGAAGGAAAACAGAACATTTGCAAAATGAAAGGTGAAAACACTCTTTTAGACATAATGGATATACGTTCAGGTTCCACTAACATTTTTTTTACTTATCTAGCGCATTGATGTTTATCAGTCATAAATCAATCATTGAATCACAAATAGTATAAACCGATTATAAATGTTAAAGGGACGTTGAACCTCAGTCTTTAGAAAGGGAATAAAATATGTATTTTATAAAGTAGTAAAAATGGATTTAGAACATTTAAGATGTTGGTTGAAGAAACAAGCGTTTCAATATAAATATTAAGTTTTGATAAAGAAAGAAAAAGGTAAACTTTTGTAATATTTAAAATATTTTGACTTTCATTTAAAAAATACTAAATCACTTTAAAAATACTTATTGCAAAAATGCAAAATATGCAAAGCATGGTTCAGGTTTATGGCCGAAGAGTAAGTTATTATAAAAAAATAGTTTGAAACATAAAAGAAGAAAGAAGCGTTTGATGATAAAAATGATATCATTTTATGATTAATGGGTTTTTATTGAATAGTTGCAGCAATTAAATAATAGACTTCGTAAACACTGACGTTTAAAATAAATTAATATGGGAATATTATGTTTTATTATTACCCCTCACTTTTATCGTAATGTTAATTTCCCATAGGCCTCTGGGATTTATTCTTTATGTTAATGCAATTGTACAACGTGACTAAGACTTTTGTACTGTTACATAGGTAACAGTATTTCTAACAGTATAAAATCTGGTCACGTGGTCTATTTTCTAAATAAAATGAAATAAAATGGCCGCCATTTTTCTCTAGATTCATTCTTATTTTTGACGATAGGGCCTAGGGAATCACCAAAGTAACAATGACTCTCATAAAATTTAGTTCTTTGCAGTCCCTAGAGTTCTTTTCGCGTATAAAATATCTTTTTGTTAAATAATCAAAAAGTAAACATCCGTTTTCAACGGAAGTAATTGTAATGAAAATAATTTTGTGTCAAACTGGAACATGCAGACGATTAAAGCATGCAACAAAGGATTATTTAACAAATTTAACCAGTGAAACGTTACAGATAGAGTTGGTGGACAGACATTTGTAGGACATCGTTATTTTGTAACTGCACGTTGTCAAAAACCATGCGAAGAATATTCTGGATACAGAAGGATCAGATTTGATAGATCATAACCTTATAAATGAGTGAGTGTTTTGTTTTCGAAATAAAACACAGTTTATTGTAGGTTTATGACTGGTAGATATCATCACTTGCTTAAAGAATAAAAGAAAAACAGCTTCTCAAGTAGGCCTACAGTACACTAAAAAACTTTGTACGGACAGTTAAGTCATTGCTACTCTTGGTTTATTTTGTTACAGCTAGAATTAAAAATTCAGATCATCACAGTATTTGTTCGGGGTAATAAAAAAAAATAATATATGGGTTTGTGTGTAACAGTAAAAATATCACCCCTCGTAAAAATAATGTTACCCTCGGCTACGCCACAAACCCATGTGTTATTTATATACTATTATGTGAGTGCTATATTGTATAAATTATTATTGCATAAATGCTTCAATTTATTTTCAATTCCAATTTCTATACATTCATAGATAATAGTATTAGCACTAACATCTATTTGTAACGTGAAAACATGTTTTACACATACAAGATATATCATGGCCGTGAAGTACGCGGGGTAACGGGCTAGCAGTCTAGCGGGCTAATAGTGTGAACTGAGCGGGTTAGCAATCTAGCGGGATAATAGTGTGAACAGGGCGGGCTAGCAGTTTAGCGGGCTAACAGTGTGAACTTGGCGGGATAGCAGTCTAGCGGTCTAGCAGTGTGAAATGGGCGGGATGGCGGGCCAGCGGATTTAACTCGAAAATTAACTGATTCAACATGAAAACGTTATGATACATATCCTAGCAGTGTGAAGTGGGCGGGCTACCAGTGTAGCGGGATAGCAGTGCTGTGCGGGCTGGCGGGCCAGCTGGCTAAACTTTAAAACTTAATTGAATGAACATGAAAACGTTATGATACATTTTCTAGCGGTTTTAAGTGGGCGGGCTAACAGTGTAGCGGTCTAGCAGTGTGAACTGAGCGGGCTGGCGGGCCAAACTTTATTACTTAATTGAATCAACATAAAAACGCTATGAAACATTTCCTAGCAGTGTAAAGTGGGTGGGCTAACAGTGTAGCAGGCTAACAGTGTGAACTGGGCGGGGTAGCAGTCTAGCGGGTTAACAGTGTGAACTGGGCGGGCTAGCAGTCTAGCAGTGTAAAATGGGCGGGCTGGCGGGAAAGCAAGCTAAACTTTAATACTTAATTGAATCCACATTAAAACCTCATGATACATTTCCTAAAAGTGTGAAGTGGGCGGGCTGACAGTGTAGCGGAATAGCACTGTGAACTGGGCGGTCCACCGGGCTAAACTCTAAAACTTAACTGATTCAACATGAAAACGTTATGATACATTACCTGGCAGTGTGAAGTGGGTGGGCTAACAGTGTAGCGGGATAGCTAGGTTTTAATGTGGATTCAATTAAGTATTAAAGTTTTGACCGCTGGCCCGCCAGCCCGCCCATTTCACACTGCTAGCCCGCTACACTGTTAGCACGCCCACTTCACACTGCTAGAAAATGTTTCATAACGTTTTCATGTTGATTCAATTATGTATTAAAGTTTAGCCCGCCGGCCCGTCAGCCCGCTCAGTTCACACTGCTAGCCCGCTACACTGTTAGCACCCCACTTCACACTGCTAGGAAAGGTATCATAACGTTTTCATGTTGATTCAATTAAGTATTAAAGTTTATCCCGCTGGCCAGCCAGTTCGCTCAGTTCACACTGCTAGCCCGCTACACTGTTAGCCCGCCCACTTCACACTGCTAGGATATGTATCATATCGTTTTCATGTTGAATCAGTTAAGTTTTAGAGTTTAGCCTGCTGGCCCGCCAGCCCGTCCAGTTCACACTGCTAGACTGCTAGCCCGCCCAGTTCACACTGTTAACCCGCTAGACTGCTACCCCGCCCAGTTCACACTGTTAGCCTGCTAGACTGCTAGCCCGCCCAGTTCACACTGTTATCCCGCTAGACTGCTAGCCCGCTCAGTTCACACTGTTAGTCCGCTAGACTGCTAGCCCGTTATCCCGCGTACTTCACGGCCATAGATATATCCGATATCATGCAATATGTATAAAGACCTTAAGGTATCAATATTATTTCAAAAGCTCATATATTATGTTGTAAAGTATTTCTGATGTATATTGGAGACATAAATCCAAGTTGTCGTAATTGTTAATATTTTATGGCATTACGCTAAATGCGAGTTTCGAATTCATAAAGCAAACGCACAAGAACGCTCTTTGTCAAATGAAACACTGAAAACATTAAAAAGGATTGCTCTTCCTACAAGCAACGTCAATAAGTAAGTTAATCATTTTATCATCATGTAAAATAGACAATTTATCACTAAAACCCCATTTCCTTTTAAGTTTGTTTGGTTGTCTACAAATAAAACATGGGGATCCTTCGAGATCATTGATTCCAACACTTTTAATTTTGAAGATTATGAATATGTTTTCTTTATGCACACATTTTTAGATTTGAACAATATTGAACAATAACCTAATAAAAAATTGCAAACATTTACTTACTAAGGGAGAATATAATGATAATGATACAATGATACAAGAGTATTTCATAACGTGTTGAAAGTTATAAAAAACAATACAAAGGTTTCTTTAGGATTTAAAGTATATCTATCGTCTCTCATTACTGTAACAAAGTGTTATTACCTATTTGACTTAAAGAGGCACTATAGATAGCTAAATCAATAAGGATGCACGATTGAATTATAGCTGAAGCTATCATGGGAATTGAGTATGGTAATCTGTAGAAGTATATAAATGGTAAAAGATGAACATCGTTACGTTGTTATTGTAAATTTATTAAATCGATCATGTTTCATTTTACTGATGCATATTAATAAAGTAAGTTAAAATAATAAAAAAATAACTATAGTTAAATAGTGTTATATGAAACAAACTACAATTATTATAAATTAAGTCAGTGAGTGGCTTGACTTTCTGATGGGAAAAGGCTTTTAAGTTCACACTGGCGCTATATATTGATGACACAATTCGATATCATTTGCATTTAAGGAAACCATGAAATAACCCTGTTGCCTGATAAAAAGGATAATACATCTACAATATGATTGTCGCACTTATTACATTATTATCTAGTTGTCATCACTTCACGATAATTGGCTTTTATATTTAATCTGGAGAAGTAAGCAAATAACTAAGATAATTCATAGCGAAAGGAGAGAAATTATATTGCAAAAAATAATCTAAATAACGGAAATATTTGTTAAAACAATAATCAATATTAGACAGAAAAGCATTCATTTATATAGAACTGAGCGCTAGTAATGACTGCTTTTTACTGATACTCTAACTTCGCGCTACTAGTGACAGCTTTTTACTGATACTCTTGTTCTGTTTGCATTTGTATGAGACTAAAAGGCTAAAACTATTTCTCCATAATAAAAATGCTATTTGTGGCAGTTCATGTTACAAAGCAGTAAATGAAACAGAATATTTCAAAGATTTCAAAGATTTAGTATTGTTAGGGACATGTTTATAGAAGGACTCATTTGACTGCTGTGCAATTTTACAATTTAATTTAATCACTGTGGATAGAAACATGGAAAACGAAAACGTAAAGCAAATACTGACGCAAATAAAAGATCAGTGTTTACTCAAAGGAGTTGGTGGAATAAAAGGGCTTGCAGTTCTTTTTCGCAGAATGGACGAAGATTTTTCAAAGCGTCTGTGTTTCATTGAGTTTTGTCAAGGGTTACAAACTTACGACCTTCATGTAGAAGAAAAAGATATAAATCTTTTGTTTCAGGTCTTTGATAGGAATAAAAGTAATGAAATCGACTTCATGGAATTCATATCAAAACTTCAACCGGCCATGTCACCCAATCGTGTTGAAGTAGTCAATCAGGCGTTTGGACTACTTGACGTAAATAACGATGGTGTCTTGAAAATGGAAGATCTAAAAGGTATGTTTTATGTTTTTAATCAATTAATTATTCAATCAGTTTTTCTTGTTTTGATTACCAGTAAGAAATGCACATTTCCTGCTGAAAGCATGGTATCTTACTCCTTTTTAAGGGAAAGGATAACTTTAGATAAATTGTTTTATATGGTCTTTTTAGCGAGGTTAAATTTGTAAATAGAAACATTTCTCGTGTGACTTTGTTCCCGTTATGTGTCTAATCGATCAATATTTACGACGCACTGCGGTTCGATATAACAGTAAATTCAATAAATCAGATATTTCTTAAAAAAACAAATATATCAAAATCAAATAAATCTGGATAGGGAATGGATATCATCAGTTTCATAAGGTTTAAATGAACAAACTATAGTCTACATAGATCAGCAAAAGAAGCCTTCATTTATAAATTTATAAAAGCAAGTAAAGAAGAATGATAGTTTTAGATGTACATGAAGTATTCCACTCAAATCGATAGACTTATGAACAGCGTAAAACTGCTTAAAATTCGAAAAATTCGCTGGTTTGTTTGTCGTGCATGTGTGAATATCAAAAGAGATGAACACACTTTTTATTTACTTTTAGTAATTAAATACAAAGAACTTGTCGAAGCTATTATTTACACCGTTGTCAACGTGATGATTTCAAATTGAAAAATGAAATCTGCATTAAATGTTGCGTGCACATTCATGTAATAATAAATGGAGCATTTAAAATGAATTACTTAAAATAGATGATGGTCAATGCGTTATCAAAATAATCAGAACAATTTCAATACAGAATCACTCTGTTTAACAGCTATTGATTATTAAGGAAACAATTTCATTAACAGTTCTGTTGTCTGAAGTTTATTGCAATAATAATCATTAAGCACAAAGGTGATGATATTTTAATTAATAATCACCAATGGAACAATTGAACCCAGTGTTAAAATTGCACGAGCTACACGATCGATCTTGTAAATTGAACATATTTTTGTCCATATTTACCATACGATTTCCACCTTTCATAAATTCATTATTAGATAAGTATAATTTTAGTTACAATAACGTATTAAACGGATACTCGTCATATTAGATTGGGTGGACATCAAACATATTTGTATTTTGAACTTATATTGCAAGCTGAGGATAGGGGGATATATAGATTTGAGTTGTCTGTCCGGTTATTCGAACATTTTTCTGTCTGTCCGTATGTTCTTTATGTTAATCCGTCCTACCAACATTTTAAGAACTTCCTTTAGATATTACTTTGGCATATTCTCCCATAAACCAGGAAAAAAGACAACTTAAAAAAGGCTTTTTATTTGTCTTTGTTCTTTTCATCAACTACGATTGTGCAAGGAATGAACTTTTCCAGTTACAAACCTAAAACTTATGTTGCGATATCTCATTGAAAACAAGTGTAGTGACCAATAACCATAAGTTTAAGTTACAGCCCTTTGCAATTTTTTATACATAACTTTTTGTCTGAGACAAAACTGAAATACCCTTTGAGATATCCATTTTGATACTTCAAAAAGATAGATATCATTTCACAAAAATGAAGTGCTAAATTATGAATCATTACTCTTCATGGTTATATTATTAAGTTATTGCTCTTTCAAGTTTTCTGACATATTTTGTCACAAATAAATATAATATTTAAGTAAAGACGCGGTCCCTAAAAATCTATATTTATAATTCTCTATTGGATATGATTAAGTTATTACATGTACTCACATAAATTTTATGTCTTAAACAGTATTGGAGATATCAAGTTGAAGCTTCTAGGACGGATATATCCATTTAGCAAAGATTTTGCCTCTCATAATGTTAAAAAAGAAGGGTGATAAAACATTTTCGATATTTTTTTCTTTTTCTACCGGGCTTATAACAAATAAACCATACGCCATGTAAAATTTAAAGTGTTTCTTGATTTGAGACTTTCATTTCATAGTATTCTTGTACTTTATATGTTTCAGTTGTTTATTCAAGAAACGCAAAAAAGCATCCAAAGTTTGTTTCTGGAGAATGGACAGAAGAACAAGTACTACAGCACTTCTTGAATAGTATAGATAGTCCCGGTAATCCAGATGGCAAGGTGACACGTGAAGAGTTCATGAACTACTATGCGGGAGTCAGTTCTACAGTAGATGACGACAGCTACTTCGATCTCATGATGCGAGCATGTTATGGCCTTCCGAATAGGGGTACATAAGGGGGGAAGGGGGGTAAATTAAAGGCTTCATATTAAAGAGACTCTACTGAGGTCAAAAACCTAAAAACATACATTAGCATTTTTTTTACATAAATGAACTAGGAAACTTTAAACAGAAATATATGCAAAGATAGTTAAGAAATATACTTTAAAATTAATTGAAAATCGTAGTTTTATGCTTTTCTTAGCCTATTTTGAGAAAAAAGCGTTTAAACGCTTTTCATTTTGGGTCCTTTTTTACAATTTGAATAATTATTCTTGAAAAACGAAGTGCGTGAATGATCTGAAAGTTTGCACAAAGATAAGTGGTCTAAACCTACATCAAATGGTACATTTATCTGGAAAAAATATTTTCAGTCCCATCATGTAAAAAAAACCTTTAAAAATGAAATTCTATGTCATTATTTTTTATGGTAATTTATTTGAATTTGTTAAACTTACCAACAAGCTTTGAATATTTGTTAACATTATGTGTTTGTATAAATCGTATCTACATTGTTTACAATACAAAGCACATGGATAGTTGTGAAAGATTTTTTTTTTCTTAACTTCTATTGTTCCGTGGTTCCTGTTTGTTTTATTTTTCATAACTGTGTTGTACTTTAATGTATTACACTATGTCATATTGTACAATGTGTCCATAGATATTCATATTAAGTACACGTTATTCATATCACAGCAACATATGTAAATGTATCAATACTTCGCCATGATTCATGCCAGTTTAGGAGTTCTTTGACAGTTGAATTATGTTTGGACAAAGATACAATATTATACAAATATGGACTTTTTAGCTGTTGAATATGATGTGATATGTACTGAAAAAAATAATATTGACCGAGGCGATAGCCGAGGTCAATATCAATTTTTCAGTACATATCACATCATATTCAACAGCTAAAAAGTACATATCTGTTTTATTATATAATTTATAAATAGTTTGTATATGGCTTATCACATCTGCCATTGCATACGACGGAAATCATTATTTTTCAGCTTGTCTACTGTTTCCAAAATTTGGCCCTTTCCATTGGCATGCTAATCCCTAATGTTCTTAAAAATGAAAAATGGTAACTAAAATAGACTTGTTTGACTCTTATGTAGATCTACACCCCACTCAACGTTTTTTTTTTTTTCACAAGTATAACAACAAACTTGGCGTGACGTCACGTCAAAGTCTCGCATCTTTTAGGGATTTCCAGAAAATCTATTTTTAGAAGAAAAACTGGTGAATATACTCTGAAAATCTATTTTAGGGAAAAAAACAGTCTATATACTCTGATATTGACCTGTTATTTTTTACAAAAAGTTGCATGTTAGCCAATCAGGGAAAGGCATTTTAAAGCTATTTATAGATTATATAATAAAATTTTATATATCATGAAAGATTGCAATGCAAAGAAAAAAATTAAGATATTTGAAAACAAAGTTTTAATAATGCCATGAAGGCAGATAATAAACCAAAATAAAATGATAAAGTTAACAATTTAGACACAAGAACTAACATAAAAGACGTCATTTAGTTGTAAAAAGATTTCTAAGGATATGTACATAGAATCCAGTACCTTAAACTAATATAAACAGTAACGTTAACAGAAGCATCTTTTAAAAAAACTAGAGGAAATGGATTTTTATGGATTCCGTCTATTCCTACTTAAAAACAATTTTGTAAAGGGCTTTGTTCATAACTATCCTACTTAATAGTTCTACCCATGTTTAATTTGTATGAAAAATCATATATATTATTTGTATATAGATTATCTTAAACTTTTGGATAATTTGATCTATTATGAAACAGTTCGTTACTTGTAGATTGTGTAATATTCTTATTTATATCTGTGAAATTGTTATCCAACTGTTCGGAATTGCATTCTAATGTGTAATTAGTATTAAGAAATTGTTATCTACATGTTATTGTATATATGCTGTACCTATTGTTTCTGTTATTTCTAGCTCTGAAATAAAATATTGTAAAATTTTATACTTAAGGGGTAGATGTATAGGTTTTTAATATCAAGTTAAAGTTCCTCATATATTTCGCTTCGAATTGACTAGTAGTAAAATTCATCGACAAGTTTCTTATTAACCGATAAAAGTCAAATTCTTGTCGATTTCGCAGGAAAGAGATCCTTAATTGAATGAAATAATTCCCGTGTTTGTGTCAATAGAAATACATTTTATCAGTATTTTATCACTGAAGAGAGATCATTGAGAATTATTTAAGATTGAGTTAGCTTTTTTTTCTTTCTTTTGCAGCAATGAAATTATACTCACTATTATTCATTTATATTTAAAGTTTCACTGGAATCTCAATAATACTTTAGAAGTAATCATTTAGACAAGGGAAATAAGATAATGTTAGCATTGACTATTATGTGTTACCTTGACCTTAATGGTAGGGATCCTAGTTGCGCATGATACATTGTTTTAATATGGTGAAAATTTGTGCAAATTATTTCAAAATCCCTTGCTAAATGGCTCAGTTATAGACCAGACCCTAAGTATGATCGACAAATAGATAGACAGACAAACAGACAGGCGGACAGAACCCTTTTTCTTGCCGGGCGGCAAGCATAAAATGGTTGACAATCGCAATCTCTGTTTAGTGGAGTATGACTATGGCAGAATTCGAAACGTGCAATATCTCTCGCCGTGCTAAAATGCTTAAAGTAATTCGTAAGTGGATGTGGGAGTGAACATTACTTATTATTATTAACTTACTTTACAATATTAGGTACGTTTTCACTTCAGATGTAAAGTTAATATGATGTTCACCACGACATCATGCACATAAAACAGAGACATTATGCAAAAAGTACGACCTTGAGAAAACTCTGCTAGTATGTTATTTGAGTATTTTGATTGCCTCTCAAGCTCGGCCATTATGAAGCTGATTTTTTGTTTCATTGAAAAGTGCCAGTTACACAAAACAAAATCCAGCAATTTGAAAGCGTTTAACAAAATACGCTTACAACAAAACAATCAGTCAAGATTCATTCATTCATGTCCATCAATATTAATTGGGTGGCCGATTATTTTTCACACAAATGCTTAACTTAATCAATAATCAATTATCCGGGCTACCAAATGATAAACCATTGGCACTAATAAATTCGAACGAATTACAACAAGCGCAGGAAGGACAACGACTTTGTCTGAATATATGTGTTGATAAAAAGTGCTGACTATTCTGGGCTTTCTTCATTTGAATTCATTCTTTCTGGGTGTAGAAGACAGGCGTAGCTATCTCCGTAGTGGCGGGTAGATCTTAGACCCACCAAAGGTAGCGTTTGAACGCGCGAGACACGGTTGACTGAGACGACCAAAAATAACGAAAACATTTGTTTTTCTGTAAATTAATTTATTAAAGCAGTGAATAGTTTATGATTTATCAAATATTATACGAATTACTTTTAAAAGCGATCAGACCTTGAAGAAAATAACACATTGTGAAAATATATTACGGTTTGTATATTTAATTTCCCTTAAATATTGAGAAAAAAACGTAATCGGCAAAAATGATGCAATAAAGTTCTGAGTGCCTGTGTATCTAAACGTATACTGGTAAGATATTCAAAGGGAATAATCTAAATATTGATAGTCGGCAGAGCGTGAGATTTGACCAGGGAGATGTACAGTGGGTACTCCGACCGAGATTACCTTAAGTAACATTGACCCTATAAAAAGGGGGACTGGTAGAAATTTATGATCCGTATATTAAGTTATTACTCGCTACGAAGCATGCGCAAGGACTATGGAGTTAAATACACAAAAACATCTGAGAGGAAGAAAATACTTGAACATAAACAATAATGGTCAGACCCTTGCATTGTAACATGACCAGCGATAGGCTGAAAAAATTGCAAAGAAAACTATTAGAATCAATTGGACATGAGGTGATTGGATGAAAGTGGGTGTGTTTAAGTTTAAAGACTAATTTAGAAACTAATACTACATTGTTTTCTGAAGAAAATGAAACATTTTATAAGTCTCTATGATAATTTGTGACTTGGGTATTTGCATTTAGAAAAAGTGAATGTCAGTCCTATGATCAGCAGAAAATTTCAATGAAAAGGAGGTGATCCTCTTTAAAGTTATTTTGCTAAAAAACTGTTTGGTTACCCCTATATCAGGACCATTTTTATGTGTTATGCATTTCATTCTACTAGAAAAATCACTTCTTTAGAATGGCAACTCAATTCTAAGGTAGGATTATGGACAATTTCTTATAATGAAAGTCTATGGGAATAATCAATGTGTGTGTCTGACCTAAAATGAAATGTAATGAACGAAAAAGTGATGTGACAAAATATAAACGTAACAGTATGTATTTAAAAGTTCAAGGCCCTACGCTGAAATACAATAATATATACACGTAGAATATGCTATGTTAACAATTATCAAATAACTAAATGTCCAGTAAAAAGAAAATTAAAGTTAAAATAACTTTAGATTTTGTTAAAATTGTTTTCAAAGTTATAATCTATTTTTTAACTTCAGAATTTTTTCACATTACAAAACCTTTTTGCATATACATACAATATATTGAGATAAACATTTAAGGAGGGGGGGGGGTGTGAACAAGAGATTTCTTTTAAGACTCTACAAAGTTTATAAAGATAATAAAGATAAAAATTCAATAGTATCTTACCAAAGTTTTCAAAATTATGATAGAAGATCTTTAACATAAAGGAGAAATTCTTATATAACATTGAAACTTATATTGACAAAATTGTCATAAATTCAAAGGAAACAACCTACTATTTTACAATATATATTCAATTAAAAGTTGTGCCTCTTGTTATGAATACTTTATACTTTAATAATTTAAGATCATAAGAAAAAATTTAAAAAGACCAAAGGTCATTAAATGTTTTCAAGACAAAAAGGGCAGTAGATGCAGTACAGAGTGGATCAAGCCTAAATAGATTTCACAATTAATCAGCAAAGAGATATATTTGCCCCATGAATTGTCAAATTTTGAAACCCTATTTTGTTTT